AATTAGTTTCAGTACATTGCAGTGCAGTACAGTATTACAGTGCAGTGCAGTACAGTATTACAGTGCAGTGCAGTACAGTATTACAGTGCAGTGCAGTACAGTACAGTGTAGTACATTACAGTACAGTGCAGTACAGTACCTTGCAGTGCAGTACAGTACAGTATAGTGCAGTGCAGTACAGTACATTGCAGTGTAGTATAGTACAGTACAGTATAGTACAGTGCAGTACAGTGCAGTATATTACAGTGCAGTACATTACAGTACAGTGCAGTCCAGTGCAATACAATGCAGTACAATACAGTACAGTACATAACAGAACAGAACAGGACAGGATATGTAAAATTATATCATTCAAGCAGTATACTGTAGTACTTTGGTTTAAATAATAAATGTATAGTACACATGTTTAAAGGCTTCAAAGTAGTACTACACTAAAGTACTTTCCAAGTGTCAGAGAAATATATAAACAATTTTAGTTCCTCTAAATAAGAACAAGCAGCAAAACCAAATTTATCACAGTACCTGTATAGTATACAGTGCTGTATACACTTAGTCTTCATACTTATTTTGAAATTGCAAATACAGTAATAGCAATAATCATTCTTGAAAGATTTCAGAAGTACTGTACTCTACCTGTATTGATATTGTAATTAAAGTACAAAAGAAATGTGAAATAAAAGAATTATTAAAATTTCAAATAAGTATAAATATACAATACACACTCTCACAGTACTGTATATTGCATATAAAATTTTAGCAAAAAATATGTTGGATCTATTTGTTTTCACAAGATATAAAAGAACTTGTAAAAGGGGTGTGGTTATCTATGCTAGGCACGACCTTAGAGCCAGCCAGGCGAGGGTACAGGGAGAGGATGTTTTTGAAGAGACCAAGTGGTGTAAAATTAAATTAAAGTGAGGAGACTTACCGGTACTTATTGTTGGGTGTAACTATAGATCCCCAAACTGTGGCCCTCTAAATCCAAGGAACTTAAGAGCCTTAATAGACAATGCAGTGATGCTCAACCCTAGCCACCCCCTTATCAATGGGAGACTTTAACTATGGCGACATCAACTGGAGAAAAGAGTTCATCCCAAATGACATGAATAACCCTGCTACCCTTTTTGTAGAAACTCCCGAGAGATAGTTTTCTGTTCCAACTTGTTAGAGACCCGACACATTACACAGGAGAGCAAACACCCAAGCCACTAGACCTCATCATAACAAACGAGGAGGGTATGGTGGCCAAACTGGAACACCTTGCCCCAGTTGGCATCAGTCACCATATAGTGTTGTCATTCAGATTTAACTGTTACCTAGATCAAGATAAGGCCAGGCCAAGGTGCAAATATTACAAGGAAAATTACAACGGGATGAGGGAGGAGATGAGGGGTATCCACTGGCCTGACTCATTAAGGCACAAGAATGCAGACACTTCACTGAATATCATAACTAGTAAAGTGACCCATTTGATCGATAAATATATACCCAAGACCAAACCCAGTGCCTCGAGGAATACGAGGGGAACCCTACACATGAACCATGCGGCGGTTGACAAAGTTAAGAAGAAAACCCAGAAATTCAAGACCTGGGTTGGGTCAAACGATGAGCAAGACAGGAGAATGTATGCAAGAGCCAGAAACCAAGCAAAGATAGAGTGTAGAAGGGCTGAAAAGGAGTTCCAGAGGCTGGTTGCAAGCGAGGTCAAGTCAAACCCAAAGGCGTTTTATCGCTATGCAAAGTCAAAATTAAAAACTCGATAGGAGTATCAGACCTGAGCCTTGAAGAAGGTAGTTACGCAGATCCTGACCAGGATAGAGCTGAGGCATTGAACAGCTTCTTTTCCTCGGTGTTCACAAGATAGGATCCAATTAACCTTCCTGCGTTTGAGGACAGACAGTTCGACAGCACTGACCCACATTGTCTTCACAGAAGAGGGTATTAGAAATAAACTGCCAAAGCTAAAGGTCCATAAGAGTCCAGGCCCTGACATGGTACATCCTAGAGTGCTAAGAGAGTTGTGCAACGAGCTTGCAGAGCCCCTGAAGATCCTGTTTTGTAAATGCCTGGATGAACAAATGGTCCCCAGTGATTGGAAAATGGTTTAAGTGAATCCTATCTTCAAGAAGGTAGATCGTCACTCCACAAACAACTATAGACCGGTGAGCCTGATCAGCATAATACGTAAGGTACTTCAGAGTATTATCAGAGATGCCGCGATGGAACATCTAATACAAGATAGCCTTGTAATGGATTGCCAACACGTTTTATGCCTGGGCACTCCTGCTTAACACAATTGCTCAAGGTATTGGATATTTGGACCCAACGAAGGGCTGAAAATCAAACTGGAAGGGTACGGAATTTTGGAAAATGTCCTAGCGTGGATAGAAGACTTTCTACATGACCGCAAGCAGTGTGTGGTGATTAATGGCACAAAATCATCATTTGTACCTGTCACAAGAGGAGTACCACAGGGCAGTGTATTAGGCTTACTGTTGTTTGTTTGTTTCATAAATGACATGCCTGATGCTGTACACTCCTCCGTACAAATGTTTGCGGACGATGCCAAGTTATTCCGGGAAATCAATAACCATGCGACTGTGAAGAGCTGCAGAAGGATCTCTGTGGGCTCCAGGAATGGTCGAAGGAATGGCTGCTGAGATTCAATGTCACGAAGTGTACGAGGATGCACCTGGGGCGTACCAACGGTACGGAGGCGTATCATATGTCCCAACGGGATGAAGAAACTCCACTATTTGAGACTGAATGTGAGAAGGACCTAGGTATGTATGTTGACAATGAGCTGAAGTTCTCGGGCCATTGCGCGAAGAAGGTAAATAAGGCAAATAAATTATTGGGTCTTATAAGAAGCTCGTTCAGATATCTAGACGGTCCGTCCCTCGTAACGATCTTCAAGAGTGAAGTGCTTCCCCATCTGGAGTAGTGTCACCCTGTCTGGTCCCCGAGATATACTACCCTGAGAGATTGGAGGGCATGAACTTGCCTAGCTTATACTACAGATAGGCAAGGGGTGACCTAATAGAGGTATAGAAGCATCTCAGGGGGCACTACTCAGTCGAGTGTCCTTACTTGGAGCTGGCGGACGCTCGCCCCACAAGGGGTCACAGCTCAAGATTGAAGAAGCCGCAAGTCCAGAAAACTGTGAGGGCAAACTTTTTCGGAGTGAGGGTTGTAAACTCTTGGAACAATCTAACAGAAAATGTTGTGATGGCACCGAGTGTGAGCTCTTTCAAGACCAGACTTGACCAATACTGGAGCAGGTTCAGGTACATTCAGGAGCTGGAGTGTGCCCAGTACTTGCAAACAGTGCGTAACAGAGACGTGACCGGTCGCCCAAGCGGCTAACGAGTCGATCAGTGGTGAAGAGAATAAAGTAAAATTATCCATTTCTGCCATGTATATATGGGGTCCAAAATGCTAAGAATAGGGAGATCTAAATGTTTCAGTAGTTTACAACTTTTGGGAGCGCTATGTCCTAAAGTAAAATAATACCCATTTACCATTTATTTACAGTAAATACTCCTCCGAAAAATAAGCCAACTTCACCACGAATGCTCAGTCTGAGCGTACTCTCATAGCCACAAAAAATGTAAAAGTACACCATGACACTTCAACAAAGTTCCTTTCATTAGTACCAGATATCAAAATAAGTACTTTCTGTTTATCATGGCGGGGTCCAGGGATAAGAGACCTGGCTGGGAAGTTAGGTAAGGTTAGGTAAGTTTCTTTGGTTAGTTCTATGTTTCTTTGACATTTTCTCATAAATGAGGATTTTCCAAAGAAAATAAAGGTCATATTTAAGCAAAATACACCAGAATACAACAGAAAAATAGATTTCCTTGTAAAAAAAACTAAGGGTAAATTTGCATTGTCACACCGTTCACTTTTAGCAAGTAAAAAATTTATTTTTCTAGTGTATTTGTGTGTGTGTTCAGACCGAATATGACCTTCATTTTTAGCGGAAATTAGCCGGGTTTTTTTAGCAATTTTTTTTCGTTTGATGGTTTTCCGAAAAAAGTGGCTAAGCGACTAAAAAATACAACAAAAAAACACTAGAAAAACAAAATGCAAACCTAACCTAACCTAACCTAACTGACTCTCACCATATGATGGAATCACCTATTTCTTACCTTATAGGCCTGGTTCTTGTTCGTTGTTGCATTCTGGGATTCTTACTCAATGCCACAAATGTTGGTCTTTGCGATATTTACATTCAGTCTTGCTCTTAGTACACTTTACCGAGGTTGGAAGAACACCATGCGATCGAAAAAATGCTATAGTTTCTACGTTTTTTTCCCAAAAACTCGCAATCAGCTCCATATACTTTAAGTGACACCCATCGCAGACTTCCATGGTCGGAACTGAACTTGAATTTCAAAATATGAGCGACCCAAAATAAAACTCGAATTCGATTGGGCCAAATATACTGCGAATTAAACCCAAAATCATTTTAATTGGTTCCAAAAGCAAAAACGCTTTTGATTGGCTGCGTGACGTGTACGGGAACACATGCGCGTGATGATTTATGAAGGAGACAGTGTTGGAGGTGAGGCAGGCGATAATGGCGAAAGATTAATGGAAGAAAATATAGAAAATTTTGGATATCCTATCTCCGTTATTATACATTTCCGCCGGTAATGTAATAGATGAAAATTATCTTAGAATTAGACATCTTATTCTAATATGATAATGGATTAGAGGTAGGAATGAACGGTGTGTAAACGCAATAATACCAAACTAAGGGATGTTACTGAATGTGGTGACCTTCCCTGGTAAAACATAGTCCCCTATTTATTCCTCTTCTTCACCGAACCTTTACTTTATAGATACACTCGTATTACAGAAGCACCAATAAGAATGCTCAAATGTTATATAACGGGACTTCAAGTCATAAGAAACCCGACTGATTGTAATGCTCAATTATCTCATATAACGCTCATGTCATGCCTACAAAATCAATTACTAAATTAATGGCATACCTGTGCAACTTTTTCATCCTCGGGGGCAGGTCCATATTCCATTGAGTTAAATAATGTGGCCACAGAATTATTGCTCTCAACCTCAGCTCCAACCTTGCCAGCCATTCTTATCATATTAGACGTAATTTATTCCAGTACAGATAAATAATGGATATCCAAACATACAGTCTGAGTGAAAATAAATGAATAATATGTCCAGATAATTTATGTATACAATTTCCCCCCAAAAATTGAGCGTATAGTTTTATTAATAAGTCTATAGGAGTGAGAGTGTGTTATATATTCCTACATGAAGTCTTGCCTTCCAATCCCTGAGATGATGATAGCACATAACAAATTTATAAAACGTGGCAAGAAGATCCTTTATATTTCGATATATTTATCCATTTACTCATAAAAATATAATTTATTCTACATGTCTTAATGGGTAATTTTTTTTTTACTTTTAAGGATCGATCCAATAAACAATAAGGTAAAGCCAAGATTAACAACATTCAAACACGATCACCTGTTGCTGTAGCATGTGGGTCGTCCTGAAATGCGAAGAGCAACCAAATGACTAAAACAACTAATCCTTTTGGCTTTTACTTAATTTGTCAACTGGTTAGAATACCACTAGAATGTTGGATTTGTTTTTTGTTACGCATTGTTAGCAAATACAGAAATGAGCATGTACGGGCTCTTGCATGTATTCTGGAACGAGGCAAGGCCTTAGGGCCAGCCAGGCGAGGGTACAGGGAGAGGATGTTTTTGAAGTCTAAGTGGTGTAAATTAAATTAAAGGGAGGGGACTTACATATCGTTGGGTGCATCTACACATCCCCAAACTGTGGCCCACTGAATCAAAGGAACTTAAGAACCTTCAAAAACAACACGGCAATGCTCAACCCTAGCCACCTCCTTATCATTGAGGACTTTGTAGTGGATTTCTCCCCTACAAACGCTGTTTGTCGCTGAGTAGCCGACCCCACCAATTCCCCAGTGTATGCCTCGTGGTCTAGGTCAACCAGCGCCGCCATACACCACGGAGCGGGGGTCAACTACTAAGCCACGTCTACCCCCCGCTATTTAAGACCTGGCCTCTCTACCTACAGCCACAGCCAGCAACACCTCCTCCTCCGCCGCTGCCTGGCGGCCCTCGCTCCTCCTCCGCCGCTGCCTGGCGGCCCTCGCTCCTCCTCCGCCGCTGCCTGGCGGCCCTCGCTCCTCCTCCGCCGCTGCCTGGCGGCCCTCGCTCCTCCTCCGCCTGCCTGGCGGCCCTCGCTCCTCCTCCGCCGCTGCCTGGCGGCCCTCGCTCCTCCTCCGCCGCTGCCTGGCGGCCCTCGCTCCTCCTCCGCTTGGCAGCTGCCCATGGCTCGCCTCCTCGCCGCTGCCTGGCGGCCTCGCGCCTCCCCTGCCTGGCGGCTCCCCGCCTGCCTGCTGCCGCGCTGCCGGCTCCTCCGCCGCTGCCTGGCGGCCCTCGCTCCTCCGCTTGCCTGGCGGCCCTCGCTCCTCCTCCGCTTGCCTGGCGGCCCTCGCTCCTCCTCCGCCGCTGCCTGGCGGCCCTCGCTCCTCCTCCGCCTGCCTGGTGGCCCTCGCTCCTCCTCCGCCTGCCTGGTGGTCCTCGCTCCCGCCGGCGAGCATGGCGACCCACAAGCTGTCCTCCTCTGAGCACCCTCACCAACCAGCTCTCTCTACATCACGCTTGTAACCATGCTGCCTTCCCAGCACCAAGCTGCATTGTACATCCAATATAACATGTATATAGAGAGCACATTGTGAGTTTCCTTTCTCCATTCCATCCTGAGTGTGAACCAAACATCCTGAACCCCACAACACCCTAGCCGCCGTCGCCAGGCTAGAACAAACTGATGACATCCGTGTCAAGTTTATTTGGATCCTGTCACATATAGGAATAACTGCCTGTGACACTGTTGATCGACTTGCCAAAGAAGCGACACAAGAAGAAGATATTGAAGCCACCCTCGCCCTCTCCCTGAATCATCTCAAATCTCGCATATACGCCACACAACGAGAAGCATTCGACATAAAATGGACACACCTGAAACAAAGGGGCAGCGTCACACTATGCCACTATGAAGCTGTAACCGGTGACTCCAACCGCCACTACAAAGAGTATCAATCTCTGATTCGATCTCAACAGATTATATACATGAGACTGCGCCTAGGGTACAGGTACCTATGGGAGTACATTGGCAACCCTGAGCCTGGCCGCACTGTTTGTAAACTTTGTGGCCAACCCGACTCTCCCACCCTCCGTCACTACATCCTCACTTGCCCTATGACCTCCTCCTACAGGTCCCCAGCCGTTACCAACACCTCTTCCCTCCCTGACCAGATATCCCTCCTCCTCGTCACTGGCCTGGCACTTGACATTATTAGGGACCTGCCACGCTTTGCTATAAACAGATGAAATGCACCGGGAATTTTCCCCCACACTCATCATTCTGTCACTTTATGTAACTTGCTGACAAAACCCATGACCCTTCAGGCTTCCACGCCCTTAATGCATGAGTCATAAAGGCAAGCATGAACTCCGCATGCTTCCTAGTTGGACACTGTAAACGCTTCTGCGCTTCACCTTGCACAGGATGTAAGGGGGTGCCCAATAAACTAGCCCCCTCCGGGGCAATCTGTAATCTGTGTCGGCACACTTGTTTCCACTACCCTCCCCCTGAGTATAACCCATGTACACCCGTCCCCGTTCTTCCTCGACTCCTCCCTCTTCTGCTTCAAGTCCTGCAGGAGCTTCTTGTGCTGTTCCCTCTGCATTACCGTGCGATCTGGGGGAATGAATACATCCCGAAATGCCTCGCTCCTTGCTAAGTTTTTTGCCGCGAGTGTGTGGTGGGTAGTAGGATAGCGGGAGCGGAAGAGGAGGATGGCAGGAACGGAGGAGTTGGATGGCGGGAGCGGAGGAGGAGGATGACAGAAGCGGAGGAGGAGGGCAGGAGCGTTGGAGGAGGGTAGTGAGTCACTGAGACTCAGCGGGTGCCTCCTCCTCCTGCTTTGACTGGGGTTCCTCGACTGCTGTTTGCTCCTCCTCGCTTGCAGGCTATTGTGAAGATGCTACTGTTGCTGCCTTCCGGCGACGAAAAAAAGAATCCAGCGTTGACTGATTAGTGCTCCTATTAGATCTCATTGTAACAAGCAAGACTGTCATCAATGTTGCATTGAATCTTTGAGCTACATTCTCTGTTTGGGTCATCAATGAAGATATCCACTTTCTCCTGGGAAGCTCAATTTTGAATTAGTCTGTGCCACAGGTTTTAATGGTGCTAAGGTGCTGTGAGAGAGTTTATGTGTATGTACACCCAGTCGTGGTGTAAGTAGAGATTGGGCCGAAGACTCATAGTACAAAGTGAGTTCCTATTTGTGCATTAATAACGTCATTTTAATAACCATATTGTGTTTTTAATAAACCATTGTATTTGTATGTTGGGTCTATTATTCACCGCTGTTCACCGTTATTCCTTCCTATTACTTAATACCAAAATTACATGTACCCATGAGCCTAACCCTCGAGTCACGCTACCACGGGTCATAGGTTGAAGTATTAAAGTTAAAGTAATGTTATAAGAGTTCGAGCTCTTATACTCTCTGCAGCAGGCTTACCCTTCCAACAGAAGGTACTATAGCCAGACCCCCGTTCTGTTAGTCGACCCTCATCTGGGAGCCGGGACTCACTAATGGCTGTTGTGTAGATGCCTTACCTAGCCAGCTTTTTCCCCAAGGGCAGTTCTTCTTTGACACTCAATTGTGCCAGTATCCAGAAAGGTCCTGATTTCCCTACAGTGACCATAAGAGGTTGTATGGTTTGTTTTTGTTTTGATCTGTGATTATGATTGTTTTTTAGACAGCATAAGGATGAAGTTACTGGGTGCGGTTGCCCCATGTAGGGTGAGCAGAGTGGCTCCACAAGAAGGCTGCTCAGTAGCATAGACAGGGCAGGATTGCACTGATGCCTAGATCCCAGTGCATAAACAACCATCTTATCTTCGCCGCCCATGTGCAGAGTTGTGAATAGAGACTCTCGGGTGTCATCTCTGCCTGTCCCCATTGCCACTCGTCCATCGCCATAAGATTTTGGGGGGTATAGAGGTTTTAATGATGATGAGAAGTATGATGAGCTGAATGATGGATGCTCGTGAATTGAAATATGTGTTGAGGCAGGAGCACAGGCTGCAGCCACACATTTTGGCTCTCCCTTTTCCTGACACAGTGGTGCAAGTGTTGCAACAACTGGGGAGAGGGAGAGTTGCAATGGACTGCAGATAGCCCAGTCTGAGATATTATATAAAATAAACATAAAGAAATCACCAATCTTTTATCTTGAACACGAGGGTGGTGGGAAGAGGGGGGGGGAGGGGAGGTGACAGAATATCTTGCATTTGTTTATTTATTTATTTGAGATAAGATTTCACAGTTGGCGCTGAAGGCCTGCCTGCGTGTTTATTTATCATTACTTAAGAGTGACTAAGCTTGTGGGGTTCAAGATTGTTTGGTTCGCACTCAGGATGGGATGGAGAAAGGAAACTCACAATGTGCTCTCTATATACATAGCTTGGTGCTGGGAAGGCAGCATGGTTACAAGCGTGATATAGAGAGAGCTGGTTGGTGAGGATGCTCAGAGAAGGACAACTTGTGGGTCGCCATGCTCGCTGGCGGGAGCGAGGACCACCAGGCAGGCGGAGGAGGAGCGAAGGCCGCCAGGCAGCGGCGGAGTTGGATGAGGTGTTGCTGGCTGGTTGGTGTAGGTAGAAAGAGGGAGATCACCATGAGGTCAGGTCTTAAATAGAGGGGGGGTAGGCGTGGCTTAGTAGTTGACCCCCGCTCTGTGATGCATGGCGGCGCTGGTTGACCTAGACCACGAGGCATACACTGGGGAATTGGTGGGGTCGGCTACTCAGCGACAAACAGCATTTGTAGGGGAGAAATCCACTACAATACTCCCCCTTCCCTCCAGGCGGTGTAGGAGACTTGTTGTCTGCAGGGTTGCTTAGCACATGTGAGGCAGAACGGGCGGTGCATGCCTCATGTGAGACAACAGCGATGGCGTGGATGAGCCGGTCGCTGGATACAACTGTCTATATACACACTATCTGTGGGAGAAGAGAGGGAGAAAAAGGGTGTGTGGAGGCGATGAATGTTG